AATTCTTAAAGTACTTTAGCCGCGATTATTCTTTAGAAATCCACATGGCCATATCTCAAGGTAAGGGCAACGCTGAATTGTTTTCAAATTAAAAAGAATTTCATGTTTACTATTTGTTAGGTATCACAGTGAGTAATATTAATGCTGGATTTAAACATTGTTGAAAAACGAAGTTAAAGATACAAAATGCCATTTCGATACAATTTTATACAAATTTTTAAAGTCATGTGACCTCCTATCACATTTTCACATTTCTTGTTGGCCTTGAATGAAAAGCCCTCTATCCCACTATATGGAGAAAAGCTGAAACGAGAATATTTCCAAAAGAGCCACGATTGGCAAACCCTGATGAGGGACATAATCGAAATTAAAGCTAAGGTTTCCTCATGACTGGTATGACGAATAAGATTTGCTTAGCTTTGTTACTGTAAATATGCGAGGTAAGGAAGAAAAATGAGGAAAAGCTATATGAGTTAAAGGACTTAAAAATCAAGTATACTGAAGCAAGAATGAAGCATAGCACTTAGTACAAAAAATAACTTAAAAAAAAAAGAGAGAATGATATCTGTTTCTAAAAACGAAAATAATATTTTATTAAATTTTACAATAAATCATAAAAACTAATATGCATCTTACATCACGAAAGAAATATAATTATTTACCGAATATGTTCTATTTTCCATATTAAGTGCTTACATTTTTCTTATTGCAAGCCCGCGTAACAAAAATTTATGTTAAAAAATATAAGAATATTTCTTTTTAAAAACATGTATACTATATTTTTTATAATAACGTACTGTGTTATAAAAAAGAAAGAAATATTTTATTAGCCTAAATTTGTTTTCCTTGTCAGTGTTTTACTAAACTAAATTCGTCACTCGTGAAAAAGGAGAATTGAACGTTCTTTTCTAAATGTATTTAAGCTTTTTTCATATTGAGATTAATGTCAATATAAAATGTGATATAAACAAAATAAATAAGTGAAAAAAGTCTGAAAAGTTTCAGATTTTAAATTACGTCCAAAGGGGCGTTTTTTTTAACATTTTGTGTGGTACCTTTATTTATTAAATACCATTTTCTTTGCACTTAAACTATAAAATTCAGTTCAACCGCAATGTAGCAAAATCCACAAAAAAAAAAAAGTACACAGTTCCGCGCGCTTGAAATAAAAAGATCCCCCTCCGGTAGAGTGTTGCCATTGCTCGCTTTTAAATCGTTGAGTTTGTTAATTAAAATTTCGTTTAAAGTTTTACAAAATAGGAAATTGATAATAAAACAAACTCCAGATTTCAAATCTGCGCTTTCAGATGCCCGTATTCGCAATGGGATTACGTCATTCAAAATTTGGATGGCTCTAGGTACCGTTGTTTTATCACAATGCGAGAAACATGCATACATTTATGCAGATTCTTCATTATTTAATTTCTTCAAATATAATACAGGACGATAGTATTTGATGGCGACGATTTGAAAAGTGATACGCCGTTTATAGAGTTCCGACGCAAAATCGCGAAACGAAAACTATAGTCCATCAGGGACAAAACACCTTTGGATCCAAAATGGGATTAAAAATGGTTGAGTAGCATTCTTGCCTCAGGTAAAACTTTTTTTAATTTAGAGAAGCTCAGAATTAAAGTGTAATTAATAGCATATTTTTGCATTTCATTTTCTATCTACTATTAATTTTTAATTAAATATTAACGGGGAAGTGGTGATTATAAAATTCATACTTCCAATAAAATGTAATAAGTGTGGCAAATAATTTCAGTTATGTAAACAGGTTTTTTTTTCTATTGTAGTGAAATTTTGATTAGAAATGAGTGTCGAATCGTAGAAGCAATAAATAGCATTAATTATTCTTTATAACCCGAATTTTCAGTCAGTGGAATTCTTCTGTCTCCCTCGTTCTTCCTGGTCTCTTCAGCTTGGACTTATAGAAGCTCGATCGCAACTGATATGAAAGGGGGTTAGATTTTGTATTATCTGAAGACCCATCTATATAACTGACTGTCAAAATTTTAGTGTATATCACAAACTTATGTTCTGTGTTAAAAATTAAGTTATGGCAACTTAGTCTTTAAATAATGTAAAGAGTAACAAAGGCGTAATAACAATTTATACCATTTAACATTCTAACTATCAAATATACTTAGATAAACAATCGATGTTGAGTTAAAAACTTAAAGAATTTATTTCAGGTGCAATTCAAATTTCAAGCGATTCTTAAAGTTTCAATGAGTATTTCAATAATTCTTTTTAATAACAATTATTCTTCAAAAATAAAACTGCTCTAGCATCATTGAACAGCAACTTAACTGTAAAGAATCTTAAAAATATTTTCAAATCATAAATACCAGAAGAATTTTAAAAAAAAGAAAAACTAATTTAAATTTAAAAGCAAAACTTGACGTTTGAAATTCAACAGTTCGAAACGACAAAGCGGATTTCCGCTTCCTGTTAAATCCTTTAAAAAATGCGCAACCCCAAATGAACAAAAGCCGTCTTTTCCCTTAGTTCCTTTCAGAAGTTCTACCAGAGTCATACAGCTCATTAATTTTTCCAAAATGCCAAGCAAAACTGACTAATGGTTTTTTATTTTTATTTATTTATTTATTTTTCTTTTTAATCTTTAACAATTGTTACCTAAGTAAAAGAAAATTCTTGAAAAAATAAATAAATAAAAGCTCTAAGAAGAAATAGATGCTCCCCTCTTTTTTCTAGCTCTTTTCGAACACACAAATACTCGACCAAAAAGTGTAGTTCAAAAATGTTGAATAAAATGCATTTTTCTAAGCTCGTTTCTTTTCCTGCAGTATGTTTCTCAAAAAGGAAACTGACGCTCATTTCCTTTACAACTCTTCACAAGCAGAGTTGAATAGTTGTCTAAAAAGATGATCGGACAAGGACTTTAAGCCCTAAGGCACAAAGTATTTCGCAGTTTCTAGACGAATGCTTCTTAAACTTGCAAATAGTTTTAAGAACTGTTACAAGAATTAGCTTATTTATTCCAAAGAGGCAAAATCTGGGGAGGGTTTTCAAAATATAAAGCTTAGAAAGAAACATCTTTTATACTTTTAAATAAAACAACTTGAATATTAATCTGAAATTCTATTCTTGATGGAGAAAAAAAAAGACTTCTAATCTTAGTAAGTGGACAAAAAGCGTTGATGTTTATATATTAAGATTGATAAAAACTGAAGAAGAATAATGTATTTAGCTGCTACGAAGATAAATAAACGTGTTTTGAAAATAATAATAATAATAATAATAATAATATTCTTTATCAGTCGTCAGGAAATTTAAGATCACCAGGGGGGGATATTTCTTACTTAAATTTGTATGGATTTCTGGGAAGGTATAGACCCATGAAAGTTGGTGGAGATCCTGCCAAATTTCTGCTAATCATTCTGGCCAAAATTTGAAAGAACTGGTTACTCTTTATTAAATTAGTTAATCGCAGGATACGAGTTATGGCTATACTATCTAAAAAAGCTTAAATTACTTGTCAAAACTTTTCATGTTGTATCACCAGTGTTTAACCATTTTTTTTCAAATAAAATATCATATTGTGCCCATTAACACACACTTTGGCAGGATCATATAACTTAATATAAATATAAATGCTACTCCAGGGTTGGCACCAAAATGATTACAAACAGTGAAATAGCACTGGCGATAGAATTTAAGGGCTGTGGAATTTTTAAAATTTAGGTAGGTACTCTGTGGCAAAAAATTTAGCATTGCCTCTATAACCCACTGCTTGCTCATCTAGGGCAAGTCCCAAATTTTAATCATTCCTTCAAAATGTGAAAGAAAAACAAATAAACAACTATTAACTTACATCCTTCTTTACAAAAAGAAAAAAAAAAGGCTTTTTGAAAATTAATTGGATTTCCATAAAAACAGGGCAAAGATCTTATGATTGTAATGTGATATCATATCTATCCATTATTTGGACTAAATATCACTATTTTGAAGACATTTTTAAAAAAAATTCTGGGTCATAGTCCCTGTGTGTTTCATGATGGCTGTAAAAGTCTCTCATTTATTTAATTTTTTGTAAATAATAACAATGAATTTACTAAAATTTTAAAATATTCTCGTTAATTAAACTTTCTGATTATTTGAATGCTGGACACTATACTAAGTTGATATGCTCATTTGGTGGAACAGTTGTTCAGCTAACTGTATAAGAAAGGTGCCAGAAGTGGTTATTCACCCTTTTGAGCATTGATATGAGGCTGTGAATAGCTGTAAGCCAGTCGAGTCAAGATTATCAATGTATCATATGTATAACTTTGGAAACAATTTCAAGCAAAGTTTTAATTCAGCAAACTTAATTTAACAGTTAGGTATGCTTTTCCCAGTAATAATTTATACTTTTTTTCTTTAAATCTAAGATTCAACTTTTGTTAACGATTGTATAAACATTACTAAAAACAGATTAGAATTGATGGATCTTATAATTGCATATTTTTCAAATTATTAATTTAAATAGGAATTTAAAATTGCAAATAGATCAAACTCTCATTAAAAAACAGTTTTCTAAACATATTTAAACATTTGATTTCATTCATTGTATTTTCTTTGAATCATATCCTTTTTCTCTGTTATTAGAACTGAAAATCACTAATGTGTCTTAGAACTACTGGTATGTTATATTAGAAGATGCATGATGATTTAACAAAGTATATGTAGATAATAGCTGTATCAAGAGACATGCCTGAGTAATAATAAATTATATTAAGGCATTGAAATTTTAAATAATCTAAGGATTGAAATTATGAATACTCAAAAAAATTCTTTCTGTTGGTTTTCTAACAAATGTTTCTGTAGGTTTTCTAAACAAATATGCTATTCTAAAGAAAGAAACAATATGAAAATTGTTTCCTTTGTTTTTTGAGAATATAAATTTTTGCAATTGTGTTATTATATCTGCGAGTACATAAAATTGAGTCATTAAACAAAATTCATCTTTTTCTTTTAATATAACAAATGCTTTTTATTTTATCATTTATTGATTTGTTTTTATGTTTACTGTCTTTTCTAGGACTGTGAAAAATATGTTGCCCAGGCAATAGAATTATTTATAAGATTTAGTAAACTAGTCAAAGAAGCATTTAATGATGACTCTAGGTTCACAGCATCAAGAGATAAGGTATTACACATATTATGTTATAATTAAAAAATTTACCATATGGTATATAGTTATGATTAGGTATATAAATTTTTTTGTTTCTTTGTCTTTTTTGTTTTAGTTCAGATCTCTCTAAAAGCACAAAATGAGATAAAATTATGACTATAGTGGTGAAGTTTATGTTTGAAAAGGCACGGAAGATTAGAAATGGACCAAAAAATTGCACTCAGTTACATTATCTGTTATGTAGGGAAGACTTGATGATAAACATGACTACAATTCATGAAGTTAAAACTAGAATTTATTTACATAAGAATGAAAATAAAAGTAAAAGAATAGTTGTAAAACATTTTGTACACGTCCATCCTCATGATTGTTCACTTTTCGTCTGATCACACCCTATTCTAGACGGCGCTTTTATATAATCTTAGTTACAGTTGCAGTTCCCACAGTCATTTGTCCACTTGCCTGATTTAAATGCAGTTATACAGTACAAAGTCTGAAATCTGGACTCGTCAGGACTTCAGCGGTTCCGGATTTGGGACTTTTCTGGATATTAGATCATCAGTTAAAATTTAGTAAGATGGCATGTAGAAATTATACAATTAAAAATATGAAATTTGAGTTTATGAAATAAAGAGAAATTATGATCTAAAAAGTATCAAAATTTATTAATTTAAAAAAAAAAGCAGCTTACTATTTATTTGTTTTTTTTTTATTAAACCTTTCTTTCAATGTAAGTTGTTTAAGTTGCTTTATTTTTTTGTGCTCATACTTTCTTTTTAATTCTATAAACAGACATAATTTCTTGTTCAGTTACAAAGTTCCACTGTTCAAGTCCTGTAATTGCTGTGTGGAGAATACCAACTAACTTATAAATCGAAATTTTTTCATTTTCAATAACCGCTCTGTCACTTTCTTCACTATCGGAAGCGGTATTTTCTGGATCTTGAACCATACTACAGATTTCGCTGTCCATTAATTGATTGATAATTGGGGCATTGTCGTTGCAATGAAAAACTTCTTTTATATCATCTTCATTTACCGCTTCTCCACGTTTCTTGACAAAATCCGTTAATTGGAAAATTTCACCTTTGGTTTGCTGTACAGTACACTCCCGATTATCCGCGGAATTGGGTGGTGCGGCCGCCGCGGATAACAAAAATCGCAGATAATCCGAAAAAAAGCTAAAAACGGATATAGCAAAAGAAAAAACAGTCATTCCAACTTTGAAAAATCGTTTTATATACAATAAAATGTAAAATAAACAGCGGGAAATGTTTAACTAACGCTTAATATTTTAGTATATCACTCAAAACTATCCTAAAATGCATTTTGTTAATGAAAATAGAAAAGTGTTTTGTATACTTACGAGAGGCGTCAAGGATACACAGAAAATTAATACATATGTACTGTTTTAATAATACCGTAATGTATTATGTAATTACAAAAGCATAACTGTAAAACTAACCTTTTTGAAACACATCAGTCATTTGTGTTTGCTTTGTGCTTTGGAAGCATTTTCTCTTGATCCGAGATTGCATTTTTCGTAGCATAAGTTTTCTCGGCCAACTCCGTGTCGTCTTGTTCTTCCATATAGCTCAGTAATCTGTAGACTTGTGCAAAGCCGCTTCATGAGTCTTCTGCATATGCACAGTATCTCTTCTTGTCTTCACTTCACTGTCCTTCATTCTCGGTCTCTCCCCTGCTTTCTTTCTTCACAATTTCGTCATCTGTCAAGCGTTCAAAGTCAGGTTCGTTGACGTCACACTCCAACCACTCGTTAATGCTTTCAGCATCAACGTTCTCACCACTCGGAACTGTTTTCACCATATCGGCAAAAGTTGCTGTGGGCGTCTCTATAGCTTCCTTCTCTTCTTTACAACTCAAAAGGGGTTAGGTTGTTGTTGGCTTCAACATTAGGCATGAGTTTTCTCCATAATGTTATGAGGGTTGACGGTTTCACTGAGTTGTATGCAGATGCAATATCGTAGATGCTGTCGAAGATTGTAGTGTTTCCAAAACTCTTTCAGATACCTTCTTCAATTTTGGTCATTAGCAGCTTGGTTCTGTATGTTTTCTCTTCATTGTTGCAATGACTACTTGTTCCATGGGTTGGGTTAGCTCAGTAATGTTTGGGGGGGGGGAGAAACTTTGCAAAAATTTGTCCATCAGAAGACTTAACATGCTTGTTGTTGCTGCTGAGAAGGTGTGTTGTCGATCAATAGCACAGCTTTTCAGGCAGGCTTTTCGATTTAAGATGTTTTGCACTTGAAGAAAAAGATGTTTTCGAACCATTCTTGAAAAATGTTTCGGTCCATCCATTCCTTTTTTTTTGGTTAAAGTAAAACAACGGGTAAATTTTCTATCCTTGTGCCTTTGAAAGATCTTTTTTTTTTTTTTTTTTTTTTTTTTTTTTTTTTTTTTTTTTTTTTTTTTTTTTTTTAAACTTTCCAATGACAACAAGTCTAAGTTTATGTCCACCGGTAGCCTTACTGCAAGACATGATAGTGATCCTATGCTTTGCTGCTTTTATAACCCGCCGCTTTACTTTCATTTTCAAATGCTAAAGTGCGATTCCCGATTTGTCGACAAAAGTCCCGATTCGTGGCATTTTAAATTTGATCAAAAGATAGCTCTTTTTTTTAATACAAATTCTTCAAATTCATGGTGGAAATCGTCGGCTGCTTGTTGGTCACCACTAAGTTTCTCCCCAATGAAGTCCAATTTCTCGAATTCCATGTCGCTGCTTAAAACGAGTCAACTAGCCAAAAGATGCATCAAAATTTCCTTTCAGGCCTAACAACTCAAAAAAGGTTTTTGCCTTCGCCGCAATGATAGGACCATTTACAGGAGTACCCTGTTTTCGTACTTCAGCTAACCACTCTGTCAATGCCGTGTCTAGCTCATCAAAGGTAGAACCTTTCACACTTTTTTTCGCGTTTTCTTTGCGGAAGCACTATCCGACATTGATGCAAAGTTCACCAGTTTGTCTTTTTGCTTTAGAATGTCACGCACTGTTGTTTCCGCGATTCTGTAATCCAATTCCATATGCTACCTTGTAGCGCTGTTTGCTACTTTGGAAATTAATTCTAGTTTTGGCGCTAATCGTCAACACAACCTTCTTTCATTTTCCTGACATTTTAAATGAGTAACAAAAACACAAAACCAAAAAGCACAAGCACTGAATACAATAAAAAGATAAGAAATTTAACTCGGACCGGTTCACAAACACTATTAGGCTTAAACTAACAATGGCGAGTGAAAGGAAGTGAACGTGTCAGTAAGATTAAGACGAGAAAGGGCGGTGGAGCGGGCACTGCAAGCGTGAGTAATCACTTACTCATCATAGGGGCCGAGGGTAAGGTTCCGAGAAGGCCTGGGATATTTTTGCAATAAATAAGCACGATGTTAGCAAATTTACCGTTTCGCTCAGTTTTGTGAAAATTTTTATTTTGTTTGCTTTACGCTTGTTTTTTTAAAAAAAAAAAAAAAAATGTGCGGTAGGCGCGGATAATCGGGAGTCTACTGTACCTGAATGTCTTTAAAGTTCGTAGCTTAATGCTTTATCTAGGGCCGCCGCTAAAATCACATAATGCAGTCTCTACGGGTCTTAAATTCTGCTACAAAGTGCCTTCCCAAGTTCTAAATTTTCACCGCACTTTAACTTTGCATCCATTCTAAATCATAAAAAACTTCTCATCCCTTAATTTTCCTGCTCGGTGCTTCCTCAAATTCTAAAAATTTCGTCTTCCCTAAATTCTGCCGCCGCTTCTGGGTTTATGGTGAATAACATATCAGTTATTCTTAATTAAAATAGCACTAAATGTAATCTTTTGGCCTATGAGTTTCATTAACAAAATCTATTTTTAGAATATGAAAAGAAATTTTTGTTGAATTTGCCTTGTCAACATTTATTAAAGCATTTAAAAATCTATAATCATTGCTAAGCGTAAAAGGTTGCCATACTCTTGTTATTCAATTACTAATATAAAAAAAAAGTTTAAATATTATTGCATAAGTTATTACTGAAGCTGTCATGTATTGATAAACATGCAGTGAAGAAAGCAAAATATAATAAATAATGACTTGCCAGGTCGACATCATGGATATAAAATAGGTGAGTGTTTCGGTTTGAGATGTATGCCAAGCAGACAGCTACAGATCCAAATTATTAATCTCACAAATTTATGCTTACATGATTGTTTTTCCATAACAAGTTATTTTATTTAGTGCCTAAATGAATTTAAGAATCGAAATTTTTAAATGAAAATCTCCACGTGTTTTATTATGGAAGGAAAAATCAAATGCACATGTGTAAAAAAAAATATACCCCCCCAAAAAAGTTTTTGTGGCTTTTGAGGTCTGGATTTTAGATCATTCCGGATAATGGACGTCAGGGATTTCAGACTTTGTACTGTATTAGTTTCTGGTGCTATGCTTAAATTAGTTGAAATTATTAAAAAAATTTGTCATGTTAAAAATTCCGATTAGTAGCAGTAATACTTATTTAACATAAATTATTGCAAGCAGAATTAAAATTGCTGAAATCCAAAAGTCAGAATTTTATGGAAAGATAGCAAAGTGTACATGCAACTATTTCTAAATCTCAATGGCTGTCATTGACAGTTATGATTCATAGCAGTCTTTAACTGGACAGAACTTTACCTAAAATCTACGGAAAATGAAAGATAAGAAACTATTCTTCGTTCTTAAGAAACAGTCAACAGAATTCATAAAAATCACTTAAATTTTATTTTCTTTGAAGTAGTGATGAGATGCTCAAGGTACATTCAATTTAAGTGGCAGATGAGAAATTTCCCATCTGTCTCATATCTAGGTACTTCTATTATGATGTTTTAGGCAAACATCTTGAGCTTGATAACTGATAGCTAAGGTAATTTTTCATCTGTCTGATATTAATAAGCAACAATGTCTAGAAAATTGAATTTTTTGAGAGCATGGAAAAAATTTTTTCCCCCTTCCCCATATTTTGAAGATTAAAATTATTATATAACTTTGTTTGCAAAAATTATTTTTCATTTTAAGGCATATAACAAGTACATATACAGTTTATAAAACTGAAAGATTGACTTTGCTTTTTTTTTTTTAAATCATTTATTTATTTAAAAACAAAATTCTTCTAGCTTAACAAATATTTAAAGCCATGTGTATATATGCATATGAAATTCAGTGGCAAACAAAACTAATTTAATAAGACAACTGAATTTAAGTAAGAATCTAAACTCATTCAATCAAGTTAATTGAATTACATGACAGAAAGGAATTAATGCTTAGATAAAAGATACTCACCTTTAACTGTGGAATTATCTATAAAACTTTACTCTGAAAGAGGGGGGGGGAATTGTGTGTTTAAATTTTGAGTTTGACTTTATTAGAAATGTTAATAACTTTGATTTTCAAATCAAATTCAAAATTGGTTTTTGATATTAGCTAAAGTGAATAAAATAGCAAAAGAATATAAACTCAGAACTTTCACATGTTACAATAGAATTCTGTTCTATAGTGGAAGAAGAAAACAATCTTTTTAGAGCAAACTTAATTGAATTTGATAATTTACTATTATTCTTATGTGTTTATATAAATATTGTGTCATAATCTTTTTCTTTTTAATTTAAAATTTGTATGCCTCACTTTATAAACCTAGTCAGAAAGTTCTAAGCTTTCTGACTTGATTTACTGGAGTGTGTGATGCATTTAATTGTGGTTTTTATTATTGCATTAGATACTTATTGAATTCCATTATTCTATTTGCTGTAGTAGAAAGATTTATTACTTTTTGATATTAACAGGCAGATTTTGAATTATAATGCTCCCCTGTTTGTTTAATATTTTTAATTTTTCCTTCACAGGCCTTTAAGCAAGTTATCAATGATTCATCCATTTTCAGTTTAGGAATAACTGCAAAACAAAATGGGTAAGATTATTTCTGTTTTCATGTAAATTTCTTAAATTGGTT